TTTACTGGAGTGTATTGTATTGCATTAACCACATGTAATATTTCCATATTTAGCTTTGCTAAATATTCCTTTAATTCCACAATTCTCCACCTCGTTCATAATTTGAAATATTCAAATTTTGGACGAATATGGGATAATGTTTAACAAGTTCAAGCAGTGTTGGAACTTGCAACCTGACACAATCTTGGTTAACATGTCAGCTGGGTTCTCATCAGTATGTACCTTCGTAAGAGAAATATGACCTTCCTCTACAACATCCCGTACAAAGTGATACCTTACATCGATATGCTTGGTTCGAGCATGATGAACCTGATTCTTAGCCAAAGGAATTACACTCTGACTATCACACATCAGTCTCACACGTTCTTGCTTAACACCCAAATCACCTAGAAGACCCCTCAACCACAATGTTTCCTTTACTCCTTCTGCTACTGCCATGTACTCGACTTCCGTAGTAGAGAGTGCCACTGTAGACTGTAACATCGATCGCCAACTAACTGGAGCACCGTGTATTTGAAACACATAACCAGTTGTAGACCGTCGTCTATCTAGATCACCAGCATAATCTGAATCAACAAACCCGCTTATTTGACATGTATCTCCACCAAAACACAAACATGTGTCAATGGTACCCTTTAAGTACCTCAAAATCCATTTCACCGCTTCCCAGTGTGCCTTTCCCGGATTCGCCATGAATCTACTAACAACACTTACCGCTTGTGAAATATCTGGATGTGTACACACCATAGCATACATCAAACTGCCAACTGCACTAGCATAAGGTACATTTTCCATGTTTGCCTTATCTTCTGCAGTAGTGGGAGACTGATTACCAGAAAGCCTAAAATATGGAGCTAATGGAGTAACCACCGACTTAGCACCTTTCATTCCAAACCTTTCAACAACTCGCTCTAAATAGCCCTTTTGGCTCAAAAATAGTTTTCGGTTTGTCCGCTCTCTTCTAATCTCCATACCTAATATTTTCTTTACAGCGCCCAAATCCTTCGTCTCAAACTCTTTACCAAGTTTAGACTTCAGCTTATCTATCTCCACCTTGCTTTTTGAAGCAATAAGCATGTCATCGACATACAATTATATATATATATATATATATATATATAATCACCTCCACGAAGCTTCTGAATATAGACAAACTGTCATAACTACTTCTAGAGAAACCTTGTTTTATCATGAAAGAATCAAATCGCTTGTACCATTGTCTAGGAGATTGTTTCAACCTGTAAAGTGATTTTCTCAAGCGACATACCTGACTCTCTTTACCCTCAACCTTGTAACCCTCAGGTTGATACATATATATTTCTTCATCTAAGTCTCCATGCAAGAAGGACGTCTTCACGTCTAGTTGTTCCATCTCAAGATCACCATGAGCTACTAAACTTAATAGCACCCGAATAGAAGTATGTTTCACCACCGGAGAAAATATCTCATTGTAATCAACTCCTTCCTTTTGTGCAAACCTCTTGGCCACTAGCCTAGCCTTATATCTTGTACCGCATGACTTAGTATGATCTTCTTTTCTTTTTATACACCCATTTACAACCAATAGCAGTCTTTCCCACGGGCAATGGGACCACCTCCCATGTCTTGTTCTTGTGAAGAGATTGCATCTCTTCCTCCATAGAAACCAACCGACTCTCTCTATATTTTAATTTGATAGCTTGCTTGAAGGTGACCGGCTCATCATATTCAATTGAGAGTGCATATTCCACCAAGTTAACCTGCCCATAATGCCTCTGAGGTCTGTCTGACCCAAACTTCTAAACTAGTTTATAATTTCTCTTTGGCCTAGTGGTATCCAAAGATTCCTGCTGTTTTTGTTGTAACACATGTGTATTTTCCTGTTGAACCTCCTCATGATCAAGTTCATCCTCTTCCTCATATTCACTAGCGATAGGATTCTCCACCTGACCACGATTAGAATCTGGTTGGTCTTCAGATTCTATCTCAATAGCTTGCTTATTTGATATCGTCACATCACCATCGTTAGGATTTATAGCTTTTGATAAAGCTACCATAAATTTTTCGTCAAATGTAACATCCCTGCTAATCACAAACTTAGAATCTTTTATACTCCAAAGGCGATAGCCTTTGACCCCTGTTGCATATCCTAGAAAGATATCTTTCTTGGCTCTATTATCAAGTTTACTATTCTTGACATGATAATAGGTCGTGCATCCAAATATTTTCAGTTTTTCATAATCAACATGTTCACCTGACCACACCTTATAGGGCGTGTCTCCACCTAAACTCGAATGTGGGGATCTGTTTACAACATAGCAAGCTGTAGCAACTGACTATGTCCATCATTCTCGACCTAACCCAGAATTAGAGCGCATACACCTCGCTTTCTCAAGAAGTGTACGATTCAGCCTTTCCGCGAATCCATTCTGTTGTGGTGTGCCTCTGACCGTCCATTGTCTAACAATACCTTCCTGATCACAAAACCTCTTGAAAGCTCCATCTGTATACTCTGTACCATTATCCGATCGAGAGTTTTCAGCTTTCTACCCATTCTGTTCTCAACCATTGCTTTTCAACACTTGAAAATATCAAATACCTCATTCTTATGCTTAATAAAGTAAATCCAAGCATACCTCAAATGATCATCAACATATGTAACAAAGTACCTTGAACCACCCTTAGAAGTAACTGGAGCCGGACCCCAAACGTCAGTGTACACGTAGTCTAATATTTCCCTACTTTTATGCTTGCTTGTAGAAAACCACAACCTATGTGCTTTTCCATACACACAATGTTCACAAAATTCCATGCATGGCTTTTCCATGTTCTTCAGCAAACTTTTCTCACCAAGCAGTGATAGACCCTTTCCAGACATATGCCCAAGGCGCATGTGCCATATCCTCGTACATTCAGTTTGGTCTTTACTTCTATTGATTCCAACTGCCAAATCACCAGTGACAGTTTCCCCCATAAGAGAATACAGATTTCTATGACGAACCCCCTTCATCACAACCAACGAACCACGAACAACCTTTAAGCCTCCATTTTCCAAGATTATTTTGCAACCGTTTTCCTCTAATACACCAAGAGAAATAAGGTTTTTCCGCAAATTAGGGACATGTCTCACGTTCATCAAAGTCCTTACCACTCCATCATGCATCTTGATTCGTATTGTACCATACCCCATAATTTTGCAGGCATGGTTATTTCCCATTAAAATTGTACCACCATCTGTGCTTTGGTAGGTAGTAAACCACTTCCTATTTGGACACATATGGTGTGAAGCTCCTGAATCAAGCATCTATCTCCCAGAGATATCATGGTATTGCTCTGAGACAGAGAAACAATCATTCTCACCATTTGAGACATAACTCGCCTCTTGCAAATCTTGTAGTTTACCTTTGGATTTGTTGTCGTTGTTGGTATAATTTTTAAATAATACCCTCTTATTTGGACAATTTGCTTTAAAGTTCCCAAGCTCACCACATTTAAAGCACGTTCTTTCCACATGAGCTCTAGATTTTGATCTAGACTTGCCGCCCATGCCTTGTCCTCTTTCATTTGTCCTCCCTCTAGTAACAAGAATCCTTGAGCCTGTTCGTTATTTTCTCCACCATTACTAGACATCCCACTAGTAGCAACCTTTCGAAGATCATCCGCTAATAATGATGTTCTAGTCTCATCCATGGTTAGAGTATCACCCACAAGCATCAATGTTTGAACTAGATTTTCATACTTCTTGGTCAATAAAAGAAGCAACATAAGTGCTTGGTCTTCATCATCAATCTTCACTCCTATATCCTTCAAGTCCGATATAATCCTATCAAACTTGTTGACATAATCACAGATTGGGGTGCCTTCCTCCATCTTGCATGTATACAATTTGGGTTTCAAGTAGATTCGATTTGTTAGAGTTTTCGTCATGAAATTTTTCTCTAACTTTGACCACACGCCAACAATCGTTGCTTCTTCATTAACCAAGAACGCAACATCCCTCTCAAGGCATAAGATTATGGTTGCCCGTGCTTCAAGAACTAACTCTTCCCAATCCTCATCCTTCATACTCTCAGGTTTCTGTTCTGCTAACGCCATGTGTAACTTTTGTGAAATAAGCAAATTTTTCATTTGCATCCTCCAATAAGAAAAATCATTTTTCCCATTAAACTTCTCTATTTCATATTTCCCAACCTTGACGGTTCCACTAGTAGAAGTCATTATCTTCGATAAAAATAATAATAAATTTTTTTACCACTCTACAATTTTACAATTGGCTCTGATATCAATTGTTAGAGTCGCAGCAGAAATTTGGCTTCTAATAACAATATGAAATACAACCCTCACTAAAGTTGAACACGAAATAATGTAGTTAAAACAATAAACTTATATGAAGAAATGAAATGTCTAAGAAGAAAGATGAATTTATTGAAAAACTAATAACTCGTTACAATATGTATTGATAATATGAGTGAATTATAAAATGAGTGAATTATATTATAGGCAAGTATAAGTCGTTCCCTACCTATTATTACTTCCTATATTTTTAATGGAGTGTATTGTATTACATTAATCACATGTAATCTTTCCATATTTAGCTTTGTTAAATATTTCTTTAATTCCACAATAATTAAATACAAATGCATCACAGTTCACATTATAATTTTAGATAAAATAATATTTTTAAAACATTAAAATATTAAAAATAGTTAATATTGAAAGAAACAAACCATAAATTATTACGGTGAAATTCTTCTAAACCTGCGTTTTTTTTTTCTCCAAAAACTACCGTTTTAAATTATCACGGTGGTAGCAAACATATGCTTAATCTTTTTAGTTTATACACATCCACGTCAATAAACTTTTATATCAAATATGTTTAAAAAAAAAAACTTAACCTTTTAAGTATATAAGTATGAAAAAGACAAGCGGTTCCAAATCCCGTTAACATGCCCCTAATACAATAAGGAGGTTTTAGACAAAGCGAGAGAGAAAAAGAACCAACACTCGAGTCGCAAGAACAAATGGATCAAGAAGATAACGAAACCACGAGCAGGGAAGAGCAAGAAGAAGCATTGGTCGCTTTGATCGAACACCGAACTCACGAAGTTAGCTCTCTCCGTAAGCGTATCGCCTATTACAAAACTCAGGTCATTCATTTTCTTCATTCCCAAACCCAAACCCTTCAAATTCTATTGATACAAATTTTTAATTTTTATTTCGATTATTTATTCACATTGACTTTATGATTATGATTATATTAAGTTTTTGAAATTATTATATGCAGCTTGATGGTGCGGAAGAGAGGTTGAAGGATTCAGAATCGAAATTGGCTCGATTACGAGGTCAAAGTAATTCAGTTAAATCTGTAACTAGAAATGTAACTAACTTAGATAATGGTGATAACGGTGATGGAGTTGTTGCTGTGAAGAAAGAGCGGAGATCAAATAGTCCTGTTGATAGGAATGAGCGTTCTTACAAAAGTAATAATAATAACCGTCAATCTAAAATTGAACTTGTTATTCCTACCGTTACTCCGAAGATTTCGCGGTCTTCAAAAGGTTCTGGTTCTGAATCTACTCCGCAGGTTCATACTCCGGTTAGTGGAGGAAAATCTGATAAATCTCGTAAAGAGCAGCAGGTTGTAGGGAATAAAAGGAAACTCGGTAAGATATTCGTCAAATGATTATTAGCTCTTTAATTTTGATTGTTTTCTATTATGGAGTGAGAAGTTTTAGTATACGTTAGTATTAGGGTTTGATTGTTTTTAAAAAAAAATTTATTTATCTCTATTTTAGATAATGTTTCGACTAAAATAACTATAGTTTTTACTTTCATTGGCGCGAACATCTGACATGGCGCGAACATGAGACATGGCGCTAACTTATATAGCCATTGGTAATGATTGTAAAAAGTAAACGTGATTAAATGTAATTCAATGTGTTAATGTTGTATTTGTGTCTGACACCGGATACTTGTTGGTTACTCGACACACTTTTAATCTTAAGTGTCAATGCTACATATCCTTTAAGCGTCACTACATATTAATCAATCTAAGAGAAAGTTTGACCACGTGAAAATTCAATTCATGAAAAGAAACAAAGGAGAAAGTATTCATGCTCATAGTGTATGTCAAATGGGAAAGATTTTTGGGTTTATAATTGAAAAAAGCTTTAAAAATTGTGTGAAGCTACAAATCATCTAGGATTTGCTTAAAAAGTTTTTGATGATTAAAAAAATGTTATGAATGAGTTGGAGAAAATTGATCAACTGTGACAAGAGTGTTTTGTTGCGGCTGACAAGATATTATTTGTGCCACATCCTTTCGAGATATTTTGGAATTATGTTGCATTTGTTAAGTCATTCATGTAGTAATTTGTCGATGGTTTGATAAAACTGTATGCTAATATGTTGTTACTAGCTTGTTGTTTGACACTGTCTAGTGTGTACCAAACACACGATAAGATGAAATTATACTATCATGTTTGTTATCATGCGTGCATCAAACATGTGATATGATAAAAATCATTTTTGAAATGTATTTTTTTTTTCAAAAAATTGTAATTTTGATTATGTTTCAATATTCAATAATTTATATTTATGTTTTTGTTTTTATTTATATTTTGTATTTATCTCTATATTAGGTTATGTTTGGATTATTTTCTAGCTTGCGAGAGCTTCTCGGTTAAAATAAATTTATATAAATTTGCCGCCTAAAAAGGTTCTTTATAGGTTAGAACAACTTACACTGGCGTGAACATCGGACAGGGTACTAACATATATAGTCATTGGTAATGATTGTGAAAAGTAAAAGTGATTAAATGTAATTCAATGTGTTAATGTTATATCAGTGACCGACACCGGTACTTGTTGGTTACTCGATACGCTTTTAATCGTAAGTGTCAATGCTACATATCTTTTAAGCGTAACTACATATTTACAGGGAAGAGAAGTAAGAGTTCTTAAAAAATTGAGATGTACAAGCTAATTTCAACTTATACAAGCAGTTGTTGTTCAGTGATATTTATTTTTCGTAAGAGGTGCCGGAAAAGCTTATCTAAACTGGCTCTTTGTATATTTAGTTGGTATATTGGCTGTATTTATGGTTTATTTGCTTTTGAGGATTCTGTGTTTGATATGTGCTTATTACGGAATTCTTCGTCTCAAAGTCGCTTTTCGTTGTAATTGAGCTTCATAAGATATTTGTTTGCTCTTACTCAGAAGTGAAAGAACACAAGGAATTGATTCCTTTATTACGAAAGAGTTCTATGGTGAATTTAATACACTGCGAAACAAGCAACCTTATCTCAAGTCAGCACAAGAGGAAATTGCGGAGTATTGCTTTGTGTCCCGTGAATGATCAGCTTTTTGTGACCAGGTAACGGGGTTTTTTCTGTTACTAAAAAACTTTCCTTTCTGTGACTTGTTAAAATGTTACTCATTAATAATGATTATAAGTTAGACCCGTCCCCTTCTAAATTCTCGTTTTACCTGTCTCTTTTCATCCCCCAGCTTTCGTCCATAGAAGGTATGGGTCAAATGTTATCAACTGGGAACAATTGATGTTTAAATGCAATTTTCAATATGATGAATCAATAACTAGGCTTATAATTTAAGTTCTTACCTTTTTGGTCTTCAAGTTTTATTTTAACAAGATTGAACATCCACATGATTGCCACAGCTAGGCCCAGTGTCTTAATATCTCTCTTGAATATAATTATTTCTTCTTGTTTTATCTGTAACCATTTTCTAAAACTATATTTGCGTGAACTAGAGTGATATAAGAAAGTACATGACAAGTTCACATGCTTTTCAATCAAGATTAATAAGTTTTAATTCTTGTACGAAGGTTTGTTTATTTTATTAAAGCTGATTAGTATCTTTTTATGACATGACCTTTAGTGGTTTGAGAGATAACTCTTGTCATTTTGTTCTCTTTTGTAATATATGTTTCTGATAATGCAAGATGCTAAAAAAATTTAGTCTGATTATTGCAACTTCTTGGGAATTTTGCAGTGCCTTGGACGGAGTGGTCAACTTCTGGCAAGTACAAGCTAGAGGGTATGCCCAAAATTTTCTTTCTGGTGACACTACGGAGAGCTTTTATTCTTATTTTTGGTGACAATGTTGGTATAGATAGACATGCTAAATATAAAATTGGGAACAGGAGTCTTTTATTGCTTATCAGTTTTTCGCGCAACCATAATCTGTCTGTACTCTCTATGGTTGCTCCTTCTGCTTCTGCTGACAGTCTATTATCAATTGATTTTTCACTCCCTGAATGTCAAGTGTTTGGTGTGGATAACTTTATGACTTTCAACTTCGATTTTTTCCCAAGTTTGTTTGTCCTTTGTTATCTCCTACATTTTTTTCTTCCTATTTAATTGTAATTTAACTATATGATCGTTTGACTCTCGGAAAGGAATTAAGGAAAGCTGACTATTCAGTTTTGTAACTGTTACTATTTTATTAAGAGTAGTTTAGTGGCAGTTATTATATTATTAGGAGTAGTTATGTCTCATTTATTATATGGGTTATGTCTAGAATAAATAAGGGAAGATAGTGGAGAGTTTCCATGTTTTCCTTCATATATCAGTTGGTTTCTATCAAGTGGTGTTAGACCAATTTTGATCCAGGAAGATTCATTGGGTGTGCTGGAAATTTTGGCATGAAAATGGCTGCAAATTTCATTCCAAGATTTGATGGAAGGTATATATGGCTGTAGATTTGATTAGAAGATTTGATGGAAAAGATGCTTATTGGTGGCTGATTCAGGAAGAGAAATATTTTGGTTCAAGAAGAATGATTGAAGAGGTGAAACTTTCGTGGGTTTTTGTAATTGCATTGAGAGGAGATGATCTAGATTGGTGGATTTCTTGGAAGGAGAGCAATCCAAATACTTGTTGGTGAGGTTTTTCAAAGGCCATTCTCAAGAAATTCTGGGATTGTCTCTGGATTCAGAAAATGAAGAACAGGAAAACAGTAATAGTATGAAATAGTACCATCTCAAAATGAAACAAAAATCATAAGTGAGGATGAAGATGAAATGATTCAGATGAAATGATTCAGATGAATAAACTCAACGAAAAAGAAAGCAAAGATCTGAATATAGAACAAGAGAAAGGGTACCAAGAAATGCAAAATAGAGCCCATGCGAAGACAAATGTAAGTATAGCAAAAGAACTATCATGATGAAGGAAAATCTTGAAGGAAAACAGAAACTCCAAAGCTTTGACATTGGGATCCTACGAGATGGAATTCACCACCATACCAACTAAGGGTTGTCTTATTTTGGAATTGTAAAGGGGCCCCTAAACCTAAGTATGTTTTGGCGGAGACAAGCCATACTGCTGCCATACTGCTGCCATACTCTATTCAGAGTGTATGATCAAAGCTTGAGTTCTCATATTTCACACTTTGTTTTGTCACCCTACTTCAAATTATGCGATCCGGAGGATTCATTTTTCTACTACATATTTCTTTCCCCTTGAGGACAAGGTGAATCTTCTTAGAAGGGAGGGGGCATTATTAGACTCCCATAAAGGAATTAAGAAAAGCTAACGATTCAATTTTGTAACTGCTATTATATTATTAAGATTAGTTTAGTGGCAGTTATTATATTATTAGGAGTAGTTATGTCTTACTTATGTGGGTTATGTTTAGAATAAATAGGGGAAGATAGGAGAGAATTTACTATTGTGAAATTTGATAGGAAATGGGCCATTTTGGTATTAGGAGGTGCAGACCCTCGAAATTCTGCAATATTAATCTCTAATTCAAAGGGATTCTCCGTATTTTTTTTCATAAGAATCAACATGAGAATAAAGTAAGTATAGTAGGGATGAAGATGTTGTGTTGGACGTGTGGTAAGACTAGACATGATAAGATTAGAAATGACACTATTACAAAGAGTGTTGTGGTAACACATTTAGTAGAAAAGATGATGGAAAATAGACTTTGGTGGTTTAAATTATGTGGTAAGGAGAGTAGATAAGATAGAGAGGATTTAAACATCTATATGTAGAGGAAGACCTAGAAAAACTATAAGAGAAATTATTAAGATAGATTTCAAGAAATTATTAAGATAGATTTCAAGATTAACAATTTGGGTAGAAGCATGGTCCTGGATAGAACATTATGTCGGAAGTTGATCCATGTAGTCGATCCCACTTAGTGAGATATGGCTGGGTTGTTGTTGTTGTATATCATTTGGTTTCTATCACTTTATGATGGTTCTTTCCACCATCACTGATGGTTTTGTCCTCGGTATAAAAGCATTATAGCTGAACTTAAAAATATTATAACGTTGGCTCGCCCATATAATCTAATTCATATTTTCTTTCTTACAGATCAGGAGCCTCTCTGCTTAACTCTTCTGATTGTGCATCCCAAAAACAGAGGAGATGGCCAGAAGATATAGCTTGGCACCCGGAAGGGAGCAGGCTCTTTTCGGCATATACTGCTGACAGTGGAGACTCACAAATATCAGTTACAAATCTGAATAAAGTACAAGGGGTATGGCTTTTAACACATAACTTTGGATTTGAGTTTCTTGTATTGGTCACTGCTATTAATAAATGCAAAATTTATTTGTAATTTACATTACAGCAACAACGTGTGAAATTCTTAGAGGACAAGCCCCATCTCAAGGGAATTATCAATGGCATTGTTTTTATGCCCTGGGAAGATACATGCTTTGTAACTGGTGGAAGTGACCATGCTGTTGTACTTTGGCGTGAGCAGGATGATGAAGATAAATGGAAACCAAAACCATTGCACAGGAATCTTCATTCTTCTGCTGTCATGGGTGTTGCTGGTATGCAGCAGAAGCAGATTGTGTTATCTGCAGGTGCAGACAAGAGAATATTTGGGTTTGATGTTGGTGTAGGAAGAGCTGATTTCAGTCATCAGATTGATAGTAAATGCATGAGTGTCGTTCCCAATCCATGTGACTTCAACTTGTTTATGGTTCAAACAGGGTAAGTTGCTATTAGGTTTTTACAAAACTTTTCCATAGAATGCAGAAATATAAACACGCTTTAAATTTGAAGTTTTTATCTGTCACGTTTTTTATTTTTAGGGAAAATAGAGTATGTTCACTTAAAGACAGCCAATTAAGATTTGATCCAGTAATTTGAACCCATTTTAAATTTCTTGCATTATTACTTTGTTTGCTGAAGTGCAAAATAATTATGATTGCTCAAGTCACCTGTGAACTTGGGGGAATTTGGAACAAAATGGATTTTGGTTTGGTTACTTCCACTTTAAATTCCTACACTACTTGATGCAGTACACAACCACCATTTAATAATCTCATGTCTGTCTGTTTTTTTAATTGGAAAAAATGGAATCTCTATGAAGGGTATAGAAATATTTTTATGAATGCAATAACATTATGGCGAAAAAAGTTATTACGGTCTGTTGTGCTTGTCCTTTTCCATACATGAAATATGTTTGAAATAGTGGATGTAGTTGTCTGTGGTAACCGGTGACAATCAGGCCTTTCTTCTGCTTTGTGAACACGGGTAAAACAAATGAGTTGATTGGCCCATAATTCAGTAGTTGCATGACAAATCCAACCCCTTCAATATAAGGAAGAGAGTCTGTTCAACTGTTATGATTTTGAGCTGAAAATTCCCCTTTGTTATTCATATTCTTGGCTGGTTGAAATGATAGTTTAAAGTCGAAAGCTCCTTGACAATAAGATTTTTCTTCTATTGGCATTCTTTAGTAGTATTATTTAGCTTGCTGAAAATTTATAGTACTTCCTCCGTAACGATTTATAAGCAAATTTGACTTTTTTGGTACATTTGACAATTAATGTATTTAGTCTATATATGGACTAGATACATTAATTGTCAAATGTACAAAAAAAGAAGTCAAATTTGCTTATAAATCGTTACGGAGGGAGTATATTAACCAATTTTCTTTCTATCAGGACTCACGAGAAGCAGCTTCGACTATTTGATATTAGATTGAGGCGGACAGAACTTCATGCTTTTGGGTGGAAGCAGGACAGCAGTGAATCCCAATCAGCTCTGATAAACCAGGCCTGGTCTCCTGACGGCCTTTATATAACATCTGGTTCGGCGGATCCTGTAATTCATATATTTGATATAAGATATAATATTAACAAGCCTTCCCAATCTATAAGAGCTCACAATAAACGAGTCTTCGGAGCCATGTGGCTTCAGTCTATTCCTCTTCTCATATCCATATCATCTGATCTCAACATTGGGTTGCACAAGATTTACTAGAATCTATTTTGCCATTGATTGAGACAACAACCTCTACTGAAGTAAAATGTTATGTTTCCATCTTTTTGTTAGTGCTCATCATTGAAATCTTAGTTTACTTCAAATGATTTTAGGAAGGAATGTTGGTTTTATAGATCCTTAAATTTTGTGGATTGTAAGTCGCCATGGGTAGAATTTACTTGGAACAAAAATTAGGAAAACTTTGGTTGCAGAAAGCCTGCTCATATGTAGGCAAAGTGTATTTTACTACTATTTTCTCGATATCATGTGTTCCTTTAGAGTACTTTTCAACTGGTTTTTTCCCCTCCAAACTAGAGAAGAGAGCAACATGACTAATAGAAGGACCAGGCGAATTCTTTTTCTTTGCAAGGCTCTGCTAGGGTTTCTTTTCCATAGTAAGAGCACTGTTTTCCATCGCCCTATGTGTATGATTTTTTACTCATAAAAAATGACTTTTAATTGAAGAAACAATTTTTTTCAATAACTTTTGATAATATTACTTTATTTTAAGTGACCAATCCATCAACCGAAAATTGGATAAAAATATGATAGTATGAAAAGAGATGTCTAAAATAAAATATGATACTGATAGATTGCATTGTTATCATGGCATGAGTTTGATGCACATATCATAGAATCATGATATAATTATTGTTTACTATATATTTGATATATTACATTTAGATTTTAAGAAAATTAAATTAATATATATTTTTTTAAATTTTAAAGTTGAATTACACGTTTGATTCCACTATTTTAATCTATTCACGAAATTTTCTATTTTATTTTTAAACAACTTTTTTAATCGTTTTTGACAAAAGGAATTAAACCCAAATTTTGATGACATGGAATATTTAGTTGTATTAAAGCATTAACTTTTTTTTCAAAAAACAAAATTAATTAAACAAATTAATGCCTTTTACATATTCAATAAAATATATTTTTTAATAAAAAATTGAAATAAAACTAATAATGAAAACTAATGCTTTTTATTTATTTAATAAAAAAAAATTGTTTATAGAAAATTTAAATTTAAAATTTGATCAAATTTATTTTTTCTTCTTTTTTTTTCTTTTAAAATTCCTCTCTTTCTCATGTAATGTACAAAATTAAGAGTACGTTTGGATTAATAAAAAATGATGAAATGTAATGAAATGAAACGGAATAATATTATGATTTATTAAAAAATGATGAAATGTAATGAAACGGAATAATGTTATGGTTTAATGTTTGATTTAAAGAAAAATGAAATAGAATACGATAGAATCTATTCAATTCTATTCTTTTATTATTTATTCCATCTAAATTAAGAGTTTATCCCATTAATGAAATAAATTAATGAGACAATTTCAATTTTATTTTCTAAAATTTTACATTAATTATGTTAATGTTTTTGAAGTAAAGGATAAAAATGAAATAAAAAATTAAAATGCTTTCCGCTAATCTAATTTTCTAAACTTTCGTTTTATTTGGCTATGCTCTATTTCATTAATTTTAAATTATTCAATTAAATTTTCGTTTTAAAAACGATGATGTGACTAATAGCATCCATTTTTTTTTTTACTTTATTGGTGTTAAATGATAAATTTTCAAAAATTGTGAATATTGAGTTTTGAAACCTCTCCCTCTAGGTCATTACTCATTCCATTCTACCAAACCACTTATACTTTTACTTTAACATTTAAAATGCATATGTATATATTAGATAGTGATTGTATCTGGTCAGAATTGAACTGTCACAGCTAGCTTCAGGTTGGATTTGAAGGAGATGGGGATAACCTGCAAGACACTCCGATAGAAAAATGAGAGACAGAATGAGCAAGCAAGTGAGTATATAGGTGTGAATGAATGAATACCTGACCCTCTCATGAGAGAAGGTATTTATAGCCCCCAGCACTGGGCCAAGGTCTCTACTATTGGGCCACGCAGAGGCCCAATAACGGGAATTGCCAGGGTTTACGTGAGTATGGAGTCCAGCGAGTGGACTCCTCCCTGGTCAACTGCTCCGCGAGAATAGGATTGGACCCGAGATTTTCGGAGGGCAGTTTGATGTGTCCGTTGAGAAGTGGTGGGCCACGTCCCCCAACGGTCAGATGGAGAGGTGCCCCACAATATCTAACTTGGGCCGTTTGGACCTTCTTTTCGTAGGACCAACGTAGGCCCAGTCCAGATCAGAAGCCCCCCAAGTTATTGTCCTCGAGTTAGAGGGTGATGACTTGAGTGCAGTTCTTGTTATCGAAGGCTTGGTCGGGATAGAGGGTCGAAGTCCCCCAAGGGAGCGGATCGTTGCCCGCGGGGGGCAAACACAACTATGTCGGGGAATACCCTGGACGGACGGGGATCAGGATCAGAAGGTTCATCCGCCTACTCGAGAGGGCATATTGGCGGTGAGGATCCCCTCCCTAGTTATTGTGCTCAAGAGGGTTCATCCGCTTCATGGGAACTGTTAGTTTGTCGAGTATTTCCTCGTCTTTGAGATAGTCAAGGAAATGTGCCCTCTGCGCACTCCAATGTCGAGCACCTTTCAGAAAATGTGCCTGCTTGCTCGCCAGTTCAAAGGATTTCATGTTTGATGGTTGAGCCACGTGGCTAACGTTTTGGGGTGCCACCCCTTTAAGAAAAAAAACAAAAGGGGCCAATGAGATGATGACCCTTCATGTGGGATCCCTTGGGGCGTGGGTCGCATATAAAAAGGGGGCCCTTGGGATTCATTTTTCATCTTCTCAGCTCCCTTTCAATCCTTCCTCTGCTCGCGGTGTGAAGCGGTTCTCTCAAAGCTCTCAGTTTTTCTTCGTTTGAGGTGTGAGGTGACCCTCTCAACTTCCCAGTTTTTTCCACAACGTTCTTCATCCAAGTAAGTTATAACCTCTTAATACCACCTTTCTGGGGCTTATCTGGATTAAATGTAAAAAATTTGTCTTGATTGGATGAATATCCATGAGTTTTGTAATGAATGTTCATTTGAATTCATGGGTTTTGTGTCGGGCACTCATGAAGATGTCGGGCACCTATTAATAAATATTCATGAGCTTCATGACTATTCACGAATATTTATTTGGGTTTATGTATTTAGTGTCGAGCACTCATGAATGTGTCGGGCCCCTATGGGCGTTCGCGTTATGGCATCGGGGGATCCTTAGGTTAGTGCGTATTCAGGCTCGTGCTCAAGGAACTATTCCCTGACGCCATGTCCTTTGACTGCAATGGCCCGCTTTAGTATGTCGAGGGCTTGGGTTGAGTTCTTCGCCCTTTCACTTGATATGCGGTGGAAGGGTGGATTTGATAATGTCGAATTCACTAACTTCCCCTGCTTTTTAGGTACAATGGCACGCTGCCGTGGGAGCGATATTCCGGCCACCCGTCATGACGACGAACCCCAAAGCGACGAGGAGGATCCTTTGGCTTGGGTTGCTCCGGAGCCCCGGGATAAAAGATCGTGCTTCTCGTGGGACGCAACAGACGCGTTTAACTGCCCGGAAGAACACGCAGAGGGGGCTCCGGCCAACTGGATGCTTCAAATACCTTACAGGGATCGAAGGATATGCTCGTCGTATCCGGGAAAACAGTTCCCGATTTATGAGTTTGCTTTCAAGGTGGCGGGGATGCGCCTGCCTTTTAATGATTTCTAGGTCGGGGTTTTCCAATGGCTCCAGCTGGCACCTTCTCAACTTCATCCAAACGCGTTGGCGTTCATGCAGGCGTTTGAGCTCGTCTGCCAATATCTGGGGATAGGCGCCACGTTGCCCTTCTCCTTTCGCATCTTTCACTTGCAGAGACAATCAGTCCACGGGAGACAGGCATGGGTATCTTTTAAGCAGTTCGGGAAACTCTTTCGACCTTACCTGGAGTCTGTGCGGAATTTCAAGGAGAGGTACTTCGTCGTGAAACCCTTGACGGAAGCGACCATAGATTCTCTCTATGCCCAGGTGGAAGAGGTGGAGGATGGGCGGCCAGTTACCCGACTTATGGCCCGTTTCCCGCTTGAGTGACAGTGGAGACATTACGAGCAGAGGCCCGAATATTATGCGGTGAGGCCCGAGGATTTGGATGCCAAAGATCAGCTTTCGTACGAGAAGCTATCTGCATATGTTAAAGGGTTCTCCCCCGTGAAATGCGTGGACATGAATGGTGCCCTATTGTTTGACGAGGAAGAGGAGTATCTCTTGGTCAATAGGTTAATCAATACTAAGGCCTTGCTCGAGTGCTCCTCGAACGTGGAAGCCATGAGGCTCTTGGGTAAGTCGTAACTGTTTATTTGCTTCTTTTATAAGCGGGGACGCGTCCGCTTTATTTTGATTTTTCTAACTCAACTTAACGATCCTTTGATTTGTAGGTCGAATGACGTCTCTTTCCGAGCGTTTGCTGAAACTGAGGCCAAAGAATGCATCCACTTCTGGTCCCCGAAGCAGGGTTGCCCAGCTCTAGAAGCATGCTAAGTCTACCGGTCGGGGTAGTGGTTCCCCCTCCTCCTTGAAAAATCCCGCTTCTACTGATCTGGCCCAGATTTCGGTCAACAAACCCGTGGCCAAGAGGAAGCACGCAGATAGCACCACGGGTGTACAATCCGAGGGTGATAAAACATCCGCGGGGGTTTTTGTGTTGCCTCTGTGTTATCTAAACTGCGACCTCTTTCGCGACGGGGACTCCCTCTGCCTGCACGAGGAAGAGAGAGAGGATATTTTGGCTTAAGATAAGGAGCTTCGCCGACAGCGCTTGGCCGAGGACGTGGCCTCCGTGATGAGGGTGCTCGAGACGTCCATGTCCCTTAATGACGAGTCTTCGAGTTCTCAATCTTCTCTCGATGAGGCCTACGCCAAGATCCATAAGCTGAAGGTCAAGAATGAGAAGCTAAAGGGTGACATCCTCAACCACGAGTCAAAATATGAGGCCTAAGTCCATCTTCTCAAGGATTTGAACGAGTTGAGGCCTCAGTTGGAGACGGTCACGAGGGAGAATGAGTGTATGGCCGCGCGTAATCTGGAGCTGGAGGGGATGACTGC